ATTATTGTTTCCTGTTCTTTGCCTTAATATTCATTCAAGTTGGTAAAGTTGTCAATAATCAGTTTTTTCATCTTTTTTCCTGATGGGAAGAAAGAGATAATAGGAAATTTTAGTTTTCAGGGGACTTTTTTTTTTTTGACTTTTTTTATTTTTTACTTTTTTAGTGGAGGGAGGTAATTAGATTTATTTATTTATTTTTAGAGGAGGCACTGGGGATTGAACCCAGGACCTCGTGCATGCTAAGCATACACTCTGCTGCTTGAGCTATACCATCTCCCCTTCAGGGGACTTTAAAAGGAAATTGAACTAGTATTTGTATTTGCAAAATTTTGTTCATATTCAATTTAAGGTTTGAAGTTTGGACATAGGACCATGAGAATGAAAGGGAGAATTTCTTTTTTTTTTTAAACTTCTTTTTAAAAAGAATTTTTTTGGGGGGGAGAAGGGTAATTGGGTTTTTTTTTTTATTATTTAAATGGAGGTACTGGGGATTGAATCCAGGACCTCCTGCATGCTAAGCACACACTCTACCACTGAGCTATACCCTCTCCCAAGAATTTTTTTTTTAAGAATTTCTGATTTCCTAGTTTTTGATTCATTTTGTCTATGAGTTTTAATATTTTCTGGGAATCTTGATTTTACATTAGTAGTTGGGAGAATTTTTTGTAAACCTCTCTAGAACTATGATCATGTCTTAATGGTCTTTGAACATGTGTTGTCAGGTACATTGCCAGTTCGTTGTATGTATGTGTGTGTATTTACATATGTATTTATGTGTATGTATGTTTAATAAATGTGTTTCAGGATTTCAATCTTTTGTTGGATATTTTCATCCAAGTGTGCTAGAGACTCAATTTCAGAAAGATCCAAGCTAAGTTTCATAATCTTTTGCTGTTTGCTCTTATTCCGTTCTATTCACAATCTGTCTGTTCTTCCTAAAATCTCTCTCTCTCCCTTTTTTTTTTGTTTTGGTTATTAGAGGTACTGGGATTGAACCCAGGACTTTATGCATGCTAAGCACACACTCTACCACTGAGCTATATACCCCACCCCTCTAAAATCCCATTTTTATTAATTAACAGAATCATCCTTTTCCCATTCAGCCACACTGAAACTTTAGGGTTTGTGCCACATAATAGGAGATAGAAATGTAACTGAGGCCTGAGCCCTGCCTTGAGGAGATCGTATTTTATTTATGCAAAATGTTACTACATAATTGCAGTCTATGTTAGTGCTTCTCAAATGGGAAGCGTTTTGCCCCCAAGGAAATGTTTGTCTATGTTTGGAGACATTTTTTATTGTCACCATTAGGAGTTGTTACTGGCATCTAGTGGGTAAAAGCCAGAGATGCTGCTAAACATCCTACAATTTACAACCTCTGACAGCAAAGAATTGTTCAGTCCAAAACATCTGTAGTGTTGAGAAACTCTGGCCCATGAGATGAGTGTTTCTGTGGAGGTTCTGAATAGAGAGCTGAGTAGTGATGGGATGCCTGGGGGAGTTTTGACACTTGTGCTGCAGAGTGGAGTTTCATAATATTAATATAAATAGTAACGACTTTTTTTAATGATCAGAATATGCCACACATTATTTTTAGCGTATTGCCTATTATTGTCATATTGTCCTGTCAGTTTTACTAGTTAGTGCTTTCCCATTTTACAGATGAAAAAAATTGAATCTCATATTTAACCAGCTCAGCTTCTTTGATAAGTGCCTGAAAAAAAAAAGACTATATATTTTAGAGCAGTTTTAGGTTCATAGCAAAATTGAGTGGAAGGTACAGAGAGGTCCCATGTACCTCTTGCCTCCACAAACCCTCAGCCTCCCTACTGTCAACATTCCACATCAGAGTGGTAGATTGTTAGAATCAGTGACCCTACTCTGACACCTCTTTATCACTTAAAGTCCTCGACTTACATGAGGGTTCACTTTTGGTGCTGTACATTCTATGGGTTTTGACAGATGTATGATGACATATACCCACTATTACAGCATCATTCAGAATGCCCTCACTGCCCTAAATATCCTCTGTCCTCTGCATATGCCCTGCTCTAAAAATCTTCTGTACTCCCTCCCCTGGCAACCACTGATCTTTTTACTGTTCCTATAGTTTTGTCTTTCTAGAACACCAGATGGTTGGAATCATATGATATGATATCATACAGTTGCTCTTTCAGCTTCTTTCACTTAGTAATATATATTTAAGTTTCCCTCATGTCTTTTCCTGGCTTGATAGCTCACTTGTTTTTAGTGCTGGCTAATATTCCATTGTCTGGAGGTACTGCAGTTTATTTATGACAGATAAGTTTTCAAAAATTAAGATACAGCATACATACCATAGTCTAGATCCCAAGCCTATAGTTTGATGATTGTGTGTTTAAAAGTTAATGTAAGTGTGTAGGTGTGTGTATGCACACATAAGTGAAACTGCCACTGAGAACAAAATGTGGAGCATTTTTCTTACCAAGTCAGTATTTACCCCCCCCCCCCCCAGTAAGGCAGTCACGATTCTGACTGTAGCTTAGCTTTGCCTCACACTGAATTTCATATAGAGGTACACAGGATGTGCTGCTTTGTGCCTGTCTTTCATACTGTGTCTTTTTCAGATTCATCCATGTTGTTGCATTTGGCAGTACTTTGTATTTTTAATTTTTTTCCCATTACTTTGTTTTATTCCAAGGATTGACTATATCACAGTTTTTTTGTTTTTCTGTTTTTTAAGCTGTTCTCCCTTTGATGAGCATTTGTGTGTCTGGCTTTTGGCCATAGTGAATAAAGCTCCTGTGAACATAATTGTAGATATGTGTACTTTATTTCTGGTTACAAACCTAGGAGTAGAATTGGGTTAGGCATGTATTTAACTTTATTAGAAATGACCTGGAGTTTTCCAAAGAGGTTATACCATTACGCACTTCCATCCACGACATCACAGAGTTCTGGTTGCTCCATTTCCTGCTACCTTTGGTGTTATCAGTTATTTTTTTATCATCTTATCAATCTTACAAGTTTGTATGATATCTCTTTTACAGAAGAAAAACCTTAGGCTTTTTTGATGTAATCATTTTCTCTTTGGTTAGATAGCTGTTGCAAAACTATCTTCAGTCAACAGATTATATCAGGATAGGTTTACAATACCAGTAAAACATGACAAAGTCTTTTAAAAGTGGAAAAAGCTGTAAGCCAAAATTGGCTTATCTGTAGCGCGGTTTTCTCTCTTTCCCTTTTCTATTGGACATGTATTCGGCACGGAATAAAATAACGAGTTCAAGGGAATCCAGTTCGTGTGTCTGAGTGATTACGAAGTGTTTATGACAGCTGCTAGGCTGACACTCTCTATAATGGTGTTACATTGACTTCTGAACACCTTCCAGTCTGCCTCTAGGCGTGTGTGTCTGTGTAGTCTGAGTGGTTTTACATTAACATCTACCCTGAGTAAGATCTTTTGACTACAGAAGTGTTACTTGCAAATGGAAGATACCATTAGGGCTGCTTCAAAGCTCTGGAATGGTATTTGGTTTGGTGGTGCTTTAGTAACGGCTGGGGTTTTGAAGTGTAATGTCTAAATCTGCGTTGCATAACCGGAGGAACGTGTGACCTTAAACTGCTTTTCTTTGATCTTCCTTTCAAAAATCAGGCTGAGGGGAAAAGGTTAAAGTTGCCTTAAAATATTCTGCTCTATGTGTGTAAAAATTTGGAAGTATGAAGATATGATTACAAGTTCCGTTCATTATTTATGTTCTGCGGTTTTCATATTGTTCTTGAAACTCACTTCCTTCTTGCCTCAAGTTTTGTATTTTGAATTTAGTGTCAAGACCAAAATACTGACTTGGTTGCCGTCTGCTTTATGTGGTTAGCAAGTATCTGTTCTATAAGTTGTTAGTCCTCACAAATATGCGTTTTAGGTGGTTTTTGTGGTTTACATTTTTTTTCTTGATGGCATACAGAGTAGGTTACAGAGATACTGACACTCTGACATTAACTGAATCATTTGTGGTTAGCTAGGCAAAAATAAAACAAAAAACTTATCCCCTTCTTCCTCCTACTTTTAGGAGCTTTCAAAAGAATTACTTTTTACCATTAGGAGTGCTTTCCTCAAACTGTGCTATCTTGAGTTTTTGAAATTGTTGGAGCAGAACTACAGCACATAAAATAACCCCCTGGCAGTGACTGTGACTTTTTCGAGAAAAAAGGCCTGAGTTTAAAAACTGTTCTTGAATACAGTTTATTAATAGGAGATTCTGATGGCTCTTTGATCTGGTCATTTTAAGGGAGTATTTTTCTTTGTTTCCTTATGTCTGAAATGAAAATATATCATCAGATTGCCGACTCCAGAGAGAGAGCTTGCTTTGTAGTTATGATAACCACTCACGTGGCGAGGTGCCGTTCTTCTGTTGCTTAGGAACTGAATACTTTAGAATAAGATGACACTTCCCTGTCCTTCACCTATCTCTCTTTTTTTATATTTTTATCCTTTCTATAAAAATTGTATAGATGCATATATATTTACCTTTTCTCCCTAATTAAAAAAAATTATTGTCACTTTGTAAGTTAAACTGTCACCAAAGTCTCCTTTTTAAAGAATTTCATCAGTTCAGTTCTGTTGTCTATATGATTACTTAATGTGAAAGTTAGCGAAGTGTAACTTACATACTTATTTATTTAAATAGGCCGAATGAGGCTTTTGTGTTGCTTTAGGAACTGAATTCTTTAGTATAAGACCTTATCATGGTGAGAGGGTAATAGCTCAGTGGTAGAGCCCGTGCTTAGCATGCCTGAGGTCCTGGGTTCAATCCCTAGTACCTCCATTAGGGAAAAAAAGAAAAAAGGCTGTCTGTCTCTTCATCCCCCCATCTCTCTGTATTTTTGCCTTTTATCCGTATTTTTTGGGCGGGACGGTTATCAAGGAGGGTTAAAATGTATTTATGAAATCTTCACTTTTTCCATATATATGTAAGTAAACATTAACAGACTTTTTAAAGCAGATTTAGGTTTACTTAAAAATTGAGCAGACCCCTGCCTCCCCAGCCTTCCCCCGCGAGCGGACGCGGCAGCGCCTCTGTCTCGCGTTTTAAAATCCCCCCCCCCCTTTCTCCTTCCTTTTTTTTTTTTTTTTGCCCTCTTTCCCCTTCCTCCCCCACCCCTCCTTTTCTCCCTTCCCCTCCCTTTCACCATTTCCTCTCGGAGGCGCTTCCCCCGGGCAGGGGCAGAGCCGGCCCCACCCCCCCGCCTCTCCCCGGCCCGCGCCGCCGATGGAGAGAGGGAACCCTGTCCCCACCCGGGCACAAGCGGCGGCGGCCTCAGGTCCAGGGGTGTCACGGAACTAATTCGCTGCCCGACCCGCCGGCTGCAGCTGTGCGGCCCGCGCCCGCGCCCTCTGGCCCCAGTCCCCCTCTTCTCCTTCCTCAGGCGGCCCCATCCTCGTCCCGTGCGCCCATCTGCTGCGCGCTGAGGAAAGTGAGGTGGTAACGGCCCCCGGATGACCCCGCGTCACCTCTGGGAGGCCTACAGCTCTGCCGGGGAGGAGGAGGAGGAGGAAGAGGAGAAGGTAGCTGCATCAAGCTGGATGGCAGGAAGATCCAAAGGATATCGTGAAGTTTCCAGGGCCTTTGGAAAACCAGAGACTGTCTCCTGTTGGGAAAGGCAGTCTCTAGGGAAGCAGGTGAATGTGCCAAAAATGCCTACAAATCAGAATGTTTCTCCATCCCGGAGAGATGAAGTGATTCAGTGGCTGGCCAAACTCAAGTACCAATTCAGTCTTTACCCAGAAACATATGCACTGGCTAGTAGTCTTTTGCACAGATTCTTAGCTACTGTGAAGGCCCACCCAAAGCACTTGAGTTGTAGTGCAATCGAATGTTTTTTCCTGGCTGCCAAGACTGTTGAGGAGGATGAGAGAATTCCAGCACTGAAGTTGTTGGCAAGAGATAGTTTCTGTGGATGTTCTTCATCTGAAATTCTGAGGATGGAGAGAATTATTCTGGATAAGCTGAGCTGGGATCTTCACCCAGCCACACCACTGGATTTTCATCACATTTTCCATGCCATTGCAGTGTCAGCTAGGCCTCAGTTACTTTTTAGTTTGCCAAACTGAGCTCATCTCAACATTTGGCTGTCCTCACCAAGCAACTACTTCACTGTATGGCCTGCAACCAACTTCTGCAATTCAAAGGATCCATGCTTGCTCTGGCCATGATTAGTCTGGAAGTGGAGAAACTCATTCCTGATTGGCTTCCTCTTAGAATTGAACTGCTTCAGAAAGCACAGATGGATAGCTCCCAGCTGACCCGCTGTCGGGAGCCATGGCACATCACCTTTCTACTCTGCAGTCCTCCCTGCCTCTAAATTCTGTTTATGTCTACTGTTCCCTCAAGCATGCCCTGGTGACCTGTGACAAAGGAGTGTTCAGATTACATCCCTCCTCTGCCCCAGGCCCAGAGTTCTCCAAGGACAACAGCAAACCAGAAGTGCCAGTCAGAGGTCCAGCGCCTTCTACCATCATCTCCCAGCTCGAATGGGTGCAAGCATACCTCTGCTGAATGCAAAGTAGAGGAAATGAAAGTGAACACCTTCTACGATGAGATCAAATGGCTCTGTAATGAAGATAATGCTTCAGAAAATGTGCGTTCTGTGTATGGCACTGATTTATCAAGGCAAGAGGGACATGCTTCCTTTGTCTACCTTTGCAGCCTGTTTCTGTCATGTAGCTTCAAGGGTTACCTTCAAGTGCAAACTAAGGTAGACTACTACTCTGGGAATGGGAACATGGAAAACCAGGAGAGGCTATAGAAAGGTGTATACCTTATCAGGCTGATTTGAAATGAGCCAGAAAAAAAACATTTATTTGTATGGCTAATTATAAGTCAACATTATTTAAGCACTCAAAGACCAAAAACAGTGTAAAATTCAAGATTGAAAAATTTTTTTAACTAAAAAATTTGTTTGTAGTGTGTCAGTTCCACCCTTTTCTCTGCTTAAATGTAATGTAGATTACCCTGTGTCAGAAATTCAGTATATTTTTTTTAAAGTTCCAAAATTCCTAGCTAGCAAACCCTGTCCCAGAATCCTGATTTAATTTTCATCTTGCTTTTACTTGCTGCTGCTTTGAATACTTACTGAATTTTATGCGTGTTGATCTTCTCCTGACTTCCACTGATGAGGAAACCCTCAAATTTTCTTTAGCGATTTAGTGAACAAATTCTTTGTGTAACAGCCCTGTTTAACCCATGATTCAAATTCAAATTAATCTGGAAAAGGTACTTCAGAATTGCCTCATGAATGAGAAGAAGTTATAAAAAAGGACTCCCATTACCATGTTGATTTGTTTGTCTCCTTTCAATTTCTAGAGTTTGGAAACAAAATTATTTTCACTTTTGTTTATTTTAAATTGAAGCTTAAAAGTGGCATGTGATTAGGACACTTAGATTTGTTGAAAGCATTTTTGACATTCGTATAAAAGAATTTGATAAAATTGGTATATCCTGGTGCTCACCAAAGAAATATGTTCTGTAACAGCTGAAATTGATTTTTTTTTCGGATAACTGATCAATTCACTCATTTATAATCAGTAGGAGAGACTGACTAGATGTTGGAGCAGCTCTATGACTTGGATCGGTAGTATGTAATAGCTGAATTCAGTGCCCTAGTTTTATGTTTAGCTATTAGGATTTTCTAGAAAAAGTTAATACCCCTGCCTCCCCAGCCTACCTATATTTCTTCATGACTTAGGGATCCTGAGCTCTCTGTGCAGTCTGAAGAAGATATTGCAGTCAGAACCATGTACTGATGATAAAAGCCTCTGGTAGCAATAAAGCTTGTCCTTAACCTTAAAAAAAAATTGAACAGAAAGCACAGAGCTCTTTTTAAGAACTTCATTTCAGTTACGTCTCTATGATTGGTACATGTGAAACAATTAGAAAAGATTGATAACTACATTTGTTAATTTACGTGAGCTGTTTTTATATCACTGATGGTAAGAAAACTGTTTGCAGGTAAAAACATTATATAAACACAGGCAGGTTGGAATGACTGGGGGATATTTGCCAGAGAGAGTGGCAACTGCTTGGATCGTGAGCCGGAGTGTGAGGACTGATGTGTTAAGAGCTGCTGCCCAGATGAGGTGCTGTTGGCCCCCTTGGTTGTCCTTTTCTTGGGAGCTGAAAAGCTTAGGAAGTAATTCACCAGTGGGTTCCAGAATGAGTTGTACCAGAATGTGTTTCATGACATGGTATTATCACAGATTTTCAAGTATTAAGTATTAACATGTTTTGAAAACAGTAGGGCAAGGGGAAATTGTGCTAAGTACCATTAAGATTGAATAATGAGGCCAAAATAGACTTAATCATTTATTTATCAGTACATTAATTCAACTAGCGTCTTCTTGATTTAACTCTCTCCTGAGTGCCAACTATGTGTTACGTATTTTAAATCACACAGTTGCTTTGTTAGATATGTCACTGCTGTTATTTTAAGGACAAACTCAGATTTAGCAAATTTGTATGGTTAATAAACACAAGTCCAATTTATTTTCTGCTATAATAAACTGTTGGAATCACTGATGTTGTTGATGGGTGCTCTTTGTAACTGATGGCTTGGCATATTGTACATACTTGGCAATGTTGCCATAGGCCATGATTTTGGGAAAAGAGTAAAATGTCCAGGCTCCCACCTCTTGGCTGCTTTTACTTGGTTTGATTTCCTACGTGGAACCAGAGGCATTACTTTTCTGGAGAACTCAGACGTGAGAGATATCTTTGAAAGTTAGGATGTGCTTAAGATAAACATGAGGAATTCTTTTTCTGATGTCTTTCATGTCTAGTGGCTTGGTCCTTTAATCTGTATTTCCAGTCTAAAACTGATCTACTGTGTATGATATAGCCATTTTGAAAAATAGGTAAATTAATGCTCATTTTAATTAATTTATTTTAGAGATTAGAGCTTGTTAAAGTATTGATCAGGAAGAACTACTAGTCATATCTTTTGTTTTTGAACTGCTTGAGTAATAGGAGAAAGATAATTTTTGTATGTTTCCTATCTTTAAAAGGGACTAAATTTGCTTTGACTGTTTTTGTATGAATTGTTACAAATTAACATTTTTTGACTTCAAGGGATATCATTTTGTTATAACTCAACCATCATACCTTAGTAAAGGGGAGAGATTGTTCATTACTGGATTTGGAATTAAGATATGAATTCAGTTAAGTACAGAAACCTCTACTTTTTATTTTCCTTTTTCAATTTTATTAGATGGGATTATCACAGTCCAACTGCACATGCACATTATATTGCATGTAAATACATATATACAGTACACTGCACCAGAAAGCTCTACTTTTTTCCAGAGCTTCTGCAATGAGTTCTCGAATCTCATTCATATTCTGTATTGTTCATCATACCTAGTGCTGGAAATTGAGGATCCTTCAGGACAGAAGTCTTACATCATGTGCCCTGATAGAGGACCACTGCGATAAAGGTTGTTTATATACTCAGTTTGAGGCAGCATTGCTTTTCCAAAGGAGACTGATTTATGCATTTCATCACTGTGCATAATAGATTTAAATCCATCGTTTCTTAGAATCAAGCAACTGTGTTGGGCACGAGTATTAGACTATTCATAACTAAATTCCAATAAGCATATGAAAGGGTTGTTCAAGCAACCTCCTTAGTGATAAAGAAAATGCAGATTAAAATCACAGTGGGAATCCCACTGAATGCTTACCAGAATGGCAGACACTAATTGTTGGTGAGGATGTGGAGCAGGTAGAGAACTCTGTTAACTCTGGTAAATTGGTACAATCACAATAGAAAACTGTTTTGTTAAAATCTACAAAATATGCACATATTCATAATACAAAAGCAATTCCACTAGTAAATACCCCAAAGACGTACTTAAATAAGTTCACTAAATGATATGTGTAAGAATGTTCATAGCAGTATTCTTTATGACATTATATTAAAAATAGTAAAAACCATGACACTCACATGGACACATCAAAATGAACACATCATAGATTTTATTTAACTTATTAATTAATAAGATGTTAAGTAAGTTGTCATCGCTGATTCAGAGGAGAATCTGAAAAACCCATATAGGCAATTAGGAATGCTGAAATGGACTTGTTAAGAGATGCAAACCTACCTAATATTTTATTGAGACTAAAAGGTCCTGCCTGGAATCATCTTTTTTACAAGTGGAATTCTGTTGTATCTCTGCCAGACAATTCATTTGCATTTCTGTGGACAAGATTCGATTGCATTACTATCAGTTTCTACACCTTGCAGTATTGTGAAATAGTCCAGTCAGGACAAAGGTCCAGATCCTTCCAGAATCAAATAACCTCAGAGGGTCCACTAGACAACTCTTGGTAATCCATTGAAAGATTACACAGTAATCTTTTTCCCATGTGAAAGTTTTTTTGTTTTTGTTTTTGCCATTTTTCCTGACATCTTAAGAGCCAAAAACGAAAACAACCCAGAAATCCATCAATAGTAGAATGGATAAACTGTAGTATTTTCATATAGTGGAAATCAATATAGCAACAGAAATAAAAAACTGCCATCATGTGCAACAATATGGATGAATTGCACAGGCATGTAATGTGTGAAAGAATCTATTCACAAGAGAGTGCACGATATGGGATGCCATTTACCTAAAACTGAACAAGTAAAACTTATGTAAAGCTTTAAGTCAAGATAGTGGTTATGGTTATTCTTGAGTTGGGTTTGTGACTGGAATGGGGTGCGGAGGGACCTCTGAGTATCCATAATGTTCTATTTCTTGATGTCTGTGCTGGTAACAGAGGTGTATTATCATTGAACATTCATCAAGCTGTGCATATACCTTAGATTATGTATTATTTCTCTGTTTGTTATCTTTCAATAAAGTATGCTGAAAAGAATCAATTGCAGACCACAATTTCTCCATGTGACCAGTGTCTAAAAGGGAAGTTGAGGGTATAAATATGTACTCTTGTCCGAACTGTATGTTGCTGTAGAGCATTATTATTGTCCTTTGTATTTGATTGAGTTTTAGTTTTGCAGTCGGATGCCTTTGAAAAGTCATCAGGGTTTGAGAAACAAGTTGGGTCGTGAGGGCTGGATGAGCTTCATATGTTTTTAGATTTCTCTAAAAGCAGCTATAGAGCGCTCCCACAACTGTTACAGCCTTTTCTCTCTGTGTATGATTGTCTCGCTGTTATAATTTCCTTTTGCCTTAGACTGAGTTGTGAGATTCTAAACTTGTACTCCCCCACCCCCCTTTTTGGTTTGGTATGTAATTTGCATATTTTCACCATGCGAAAGCTATTTTCTATGGTTGGAAAAGATTTTTTTCCTGCAGTGTGAACAAATCATTCTTTGTTCTCCTTATTGTGCCTCCAAACTGGTACGTCCGGTTTATGCTCCAAACAACAAAAGTCTGTCATCAGAAATTAAAATGCCAGTAAGAACAAAGGCAGAGACCCATGAGGAGCTATTGGAGAGGTTTCCTCCCTGTTTGCTCCTCTCCCCAAGTTACCGCAGTTGCCAGGAAGTTGGAACGTTGCTTGGTACACTCCTTCCTTGTAGTTCTACCCTTGCATTTACTATTATTGTTGGTTTAAAAGTGGACTTAGAGCTCCTGGTAATTCTTGTCAGGATCAGTAAAACCGGCATCTCTGAGATTCTTTGACATTTTCAGTGAGCTCTTTTAAAGAAACCTGAAAATCACTTTGAAAGCCTTAAAAAAACTTGATCAGTTTTGACACTCATTTATTTGAGAGCAAAATTACCAGTGAACGTACTGTATAAAATTATTAGAGGCAATTGAAAATGGCAGCTAATGTGGAGCCCGTGAGGACATATCCGCCCTCTCTGTGTCCTACCTAAAATGTGCACATCTTCTCTGTACACACTGTGTTAGCTCTGTCTCTATTTTGAAATCATATTTCAATAAAGAGTTTGCTTATGCTATTTGGAGTGTTCTCTCTGGGAAGTTTGACATTGTAACTCACTTTGGATATTCAGAATCATGCTTCTAACAATCTTGATTTTCACCTATTTACAAACATCTATAAATAGTGATAATGTCTCTCTCCCCCCTTCCCTTATAAGTAAAGATTCTAGGACCTTAAAACTGAGAGGAAATGAAGGATGGGTGATGAGTGTGGGGATGCATTTTGTAATCAATCCTAATGTTTTTTTCTTACCTGTTGCTGTCCATTTGAAGAGGGATTTAGAGTAAAGCTTAGGACAGAATAGGGCATTTAGGTTTGTTTTGAAAGCCGTTATGCTCAAAAGCATGTTGTGTTCACATTGCAAAATGTTTTTGTATGTCGAAGTTAGCTTTTGTGTATTAAATCCAGTGATAACAAACGTTTATCATATTGTGAATATGCCAAGCTAGGTCTGTTTTATTCTTTATTGTTTAGTGTAATTTAGTATAGCAACTCAGTTAAATATGGTGACTTTTTTTTTCTAACTTTAAGGCTTTTTTTTGGTAGGACCAAAAGCTAAATGCTAGGTTTGTGGCATATGGAAATAATAGTAGAGAGCCATGTATTTTGTGTTAGAATACTATGATTTGTTATAGGTATAAACTTTACCTGTGAGAAGTGGTTTTCATTACTCTGAATTATAATTTCAAGGCAAGTTCTACAGTATTGTTTTATAATTTACTTTTCATTTCATTGTTAACAGAAGTAGTATATATAAACTGAAGTTATTTATCCATTGCCCAACTACAATTTATTTTCAAAAGGTAAATGACCTGGTAGCTTTCATGGTGATAGCCAATACTGCATCCTAATGTAATTGGATTACATTAGTGCTATACCTTTCAGTGAAAGTATGCTTAAAATCAAAGAGATGGCAATATTTAGATTTTAGATAATGTAATCAGTGCTTTGGGTGGGAGATTTAACCAAATGACCCTTTAAGGCTTTTTCTAAATTTAAAATTCTGTTCTTTAAGAGTAAAATGGAGACTTAGAGCTGCAATATATAACGGCTGTGGTTTTTCATTTAGAAAGTTCATGTTTACAAAGGAATTTGTAGAGAGGTAAATTCTTACGGTTTGCTGTCCTGAGTTCGCAGCCTTTGTGTGTTTAAGTGGTGGTAGGTGGTGCTATTGTTGCATAGTTAGTGGGAAGAGCCTAGCTCTCCTCTTGTCTTCTGTATCCCAAGTGTTACAGAGGGATTTGACATTGTGGCTAATAAATAAATTTTAATAATTGTTATAAGAAAAATGAATATGAAGGCTCTTTGGGTGTTACCACAATTTAACAGTTATAAGAAACAAGAATATTTACAGTTTGCAGCTCTTAAATTCAGATAGAAGAGACACTGGAGATCTAAAAAGTAGTTAATCTCAGTCAGCGCTGCAGATTTATAGTTTAATATTGGAAGATTTATAAGACTTTTATTTCATAATATATACAATGTTGATATTTTAAACTGCTTGTTTGGCAGGCCTATTAAAAAAATACCATCAGCATATTTCCTTTGAATGTTTGTTGTTATTACATCTGTTATAAGTTCTTGGGTATTTAGAACTAGTTTTATAATGTTTGCCATTTTCTGTATCTGATGTTACATATTCCATCAAACATTCGACATTTATGAAAATGTATTAGAAACTACATTACCACTTATAAGTAGTCTAGAAAGCCTTTCTTACCTAATTCTAATTTAATCTGTTCAATATTTCAATTAGCAGCAAACTGTTCTCTTGAACCACTAATTTTGAAAAGCAGTTGTTTTCATACTTGATACATATATTAGTATATCTCTTTTTTACTTTTGGATTAATAGAATACAATTCTCTTTGTATTTGAGGAGCAAATCTGATACAACTCAAAATGAACAGATGTTGATACAGTGTTTGATCTATGTGTATAATAAGTGGGGAGGGTATAGCTCAAGTGATAGACCGTATGCTTAGTATACACAAGGTCCTGGGTTCAATCCCCAGTACCTCCTCCAAAAATAAATAAACCTAATCCCCCCCCAAAAAAACCCCTCCAAATATTTAAAAAGGAAAATAAGGAATATAGGTTTGTAGAGTTTAAGTGATTTACTCAAGGTGGTTAACAGCTAGGGTTGCAGAACCATAATTGGTACCTAAAATATTCCCCTTCCACTTCAGTGTTCTTTGCAGCATATTGTATTTTTTCTTATTTATGATATGTTTGCAAAAGTTAGTACAACATTTAAGTTTTACTTTTCAGGAAGCTAAGAATATTTATCTTTTTTTAAGTGGAAAATTGGATACTAATTAAAAAAATAATAGTTGCTTTACTCTAAATGGAAGGCAGTCCTATAGGAACTGAGCAGACAGCATAGATTATTAAAGATAAAAGATCATTTATTCAATTCACACCAAGCATGTGCTTCTATAACTTTCTAAAAATATTTATAATTTAAGATACTGATATGCTTAACGTATTCGATCAGCCATAACATGTGCTAGTGTGTATACATATATTACATTTCAGACAAAAAATTATGATAAAACTTTAGGAGATCTTGTTTTCGTATTATAACGTTCTGACCTGCATTTTCATTTACTAAATTTTTTTTTCTGTCTTCTTCCTGCAGATCAGTGGGGAAGCACAGGAACTCTTTTCTGTTCGACATGGCCCAATTCGAGCCGCTAGAATCTTGCCTGCTCCACAGTTTGGTGAGTGTAGCCCTTAAGAAGAAACAAATCATTCAGAAAGAGGTTTCTCTTTTATTGGTCTTGGACTGCAGACAGCAAGAATGATAACTAAGTCTGTGTTCCTCCAAGTGTCCATCCCCCTCCCCTCCCTCCAAGATAAACTCTTAGTTCTGTCAGTTGAGATGGAAATAGGTAATCTTAACCAATTCAATATGGCCATTCACTTTCTGCTGTGGTTTTGATTTATCTTCCTCCTCTTTGATCTCCATTTAGCCCCTGACTTTGCTGGCTCTTTCTTGAAGCCCTCTTCTCTCTTGGTTTTCATGGCACGGCTCTTCCCAGATCCCTTCCTTGCTGACTGTGCCGCTTTTGTTATGCTTCTGGTTTAGCTTTCTTCCGTGGCCATTCCCCACGCCTCTGTTGTTCTCAGCGTCTTTGCTGTCTCAGTTCTCCTGACCGCCTTGGAGAGCTTGGTTTTCACCATTATCTCGGCTGTAGGTGAATCTGCTGTCTGTACTGCCAGCTATGTCACAAGTATGGTTTCAGGTTTTTGACCTTGGATCTCCGCTTTACTCACTGAAATGTCTTCATGTTGCGTTTAAATATTGTGTGTTTTTTATTTAAAAAAAAAAGTCAGATATATGCTTAAACTACTCTTCTTGGGTGCCTAAATAACTCCCAATTCTTTAACGATCTGAGCCTTTTAAAGGTTGGTACTTTCTCCTTAACTTGCTTGTGTTCACTCAGTAATGTTTTTGCAGGTGCACTAAAAACAATCTTATTAATATCACTTGCATACTTAAGAAAGAGGATATTAAAATATTTTAATTCTATTATACTTTTAATGTTTATCCAGAAGTTGAGAAATCTCCCTTATACTACTTCTTTTTGCAGTTAATTCTATAAGTTGGTGAGAATGATGTTTATTAAAGCTTACTACCATGTGCATTAAGCACTTATCATGTGCATAAGTAATGTTAGGGATTCATTTAGTGATTAAATCTGCCTTTTATTGAATTGGGAAGAATGGTGGTAATGAGGCAATGATACTCTGCAGTCAGGTGGAGATTTTCATTGTTATTCAACTATGTGGCATATACAGAGCTCAACTCTGTCTCTCCTTTAAACTCATTCTCTGTTTCCTGTTGCATTTGTGTTTTGAAAGTTTCGACAAAGAAGATTGTAGGACATTCTTTTCTGATAGGTTTTTGGAATAGTCAGCTTTCTTCTTTGGATGGTTGGAATCAAGAAGAACTTCATTGCTAAAGGACTCTGCTGTGTATTTGTACCTTTTATATGTAATTCACGGAGGCAGATTTTTCTCCCTACATTTCATTTATGAAGTTCTTCTCTTTATACTAATTACTAGTGTTCAACTTTTCTCAACTTTTTTTACTTTGGGCAGAAATACCTCATGAGAGAATATAAAGCTTTAAAACTTAATATTGCTAGTAGACTTTGGGTATGTTTAATTTACTTCGTTTAATTAAAAGAAATTTTTCTCCATTCACCATAATATACTTTTAAATACAGTATAATATATTTTCAACATGCTTTTTTAAGAATTAAACTATAATTTCACAAAGCTTAATGTTCTATTATGACTTGCAAAAATTACATGTGTTGCTTTTATTGTGTCTAATTTTTCAGGTTTGTTTTCATCAAAGTTATACATGCCACTGATCACATAAAAACTTATAATGGAAAATAGAATACCCCATTTCTTTCTTCTGCCCATTTTGGTTTTGTACTCATTTTGGTGGAATTAGTCCTTTAGTAGCTTCCTGAAAAAGGATGTGTGTGGTGTGTCTTGTTTGTCTGAAGATGTCTATTCTTTCTTAATTCTTGATGGCTAATTTGGCTGGGTAACACATACTTGTTTGTAAATAATGGTACTTCAGGAATTTCAAAGTATTGATCTGATGTTATAGTTGAAGCCGGTTTGATACCCTTTTCTTTGTATATGGCTTGTTTTTCCTTCTGAGAGCTAATAGATTGTTGGCTTTGTTCCCAGTGTTGTGAAACTTTTCACTGTTGTTTCTTGATCACACATTGTCCTGGGCCCCTTCAGTGTGGAAATGCAAGTAATACAGTTTTGAGAAAATTCCTTAAACTTTTTTTTGTTTTTGAAGATTTCTTCTCCTAAGTTTTTCATGTTCTCTCTTTCTGGTACTTGTATTGTTTGGCTGTTAAAGCCGACTAGAATGATTAATTAGAAAAATAATTTCATTCCCATTCTTTTTGGGAGAGGATCTCAATATGGATTATTAACTCTTCTTGAATAATTCTTTTCTTGAATAGTTCATTTTTTTTAAGTCCTCACCTTCATGTGCCTATCTGTTTCCATCCGTCCGTCCTTCCTTTCCCTCTTTCTTTCTTTCTTTCTTTCTTTCTTTCTTCCTTCCTTCCTTCTCTCTTTCTTCTTTTTTCTCTCTCTCTCCGTACTTCCTTACTTACTCTACCTTTCTAC